GTATTAGCATTTGCCTTGATTCTGGTTTTTTAAGCCACCACAACACACTACTGTTCCCATCTACATAGGATGAGGAACCACCCAGCTTTCTCCAAGCATATTGCAGTCCTGCTTTTAAAAGTAAAAGCATCAAAACATATAACCCCCCAGATCCAAACTGTTGGCTCTGTTACCTTGGCTTCAATTTCTCCTTAGCTCTATGGATTTGATGATTGTCTATTATCTCCCTGGCTAGTATCTGGACTTAGTTTTCCATAGGGTGGGCTTTGCTGGGGCTCAATATCCAAGGCTATCTCAACAAGAATCTATTTTCCAGAGGGAAAACCAAGATAGGTAAGCACCTAAACTGCTGCCTCGCACAACAATTTCACAACTACAAACAAAAGACCTAACATCTATCACCCAGAAATATGGGAAAGCTGGCTGAGTGGAAGTTCTACAACTAAAAGGAAAGAGAAAAGAGCATTGAGATGTGCACAAGCCCTGAAAAGCTGAGGTATGGAGGCTCGCAAATCAGGCTGGCAGTGGGCAACCGGGTGCCCTGCTTTTTTCAACCCAAAGGGAGATAAGCTCCCAATTACTCTGAACAACAGTTTGTGGGGAAACACTGGGGACCCAAACTCCTATGGGGAGAGGCTGGACTGTCTGCCATCGGGTCAGAAAGTGAGGGTGACTTTCTTGCAGAGGTGCGCACAGCAATCATTGTTTACTGCGCTGAGGCTTGGGACATGGGGACATGGGGACTTGCAAACATGAAGATGCAGAGATGGCTGACTGGAAGCCATTGCTGTTTGCCATGCCTTATCCTAGTGACTCCCTGAGACCCCACCCCGCACAATCTACAAATCCACCCAAGCTCCATGCAGTGGCTTTTGCATATAAATGGCCAGTCCTATTGCAGCTTAACCAAACAAACTGCAGCTCTGGTGAGACAGCTACAAAACCTCCAAACCCCAAGCTAAAAGGAGAAAACTGTAGTTCTCGCTGTAGCTCCTGTTGGGTGGCCTCAGACAGTAGCTGACCTGCACCCCATTGGAGATCCAAAAGCTAGTGTATCTAGTGGTCAGTGTGAGATGACACCAGATTTCAACTACTCCTATCCATAAGTGACACATTCAAGAGGCAGACTTAGTGAGCACCACAGCCCCACTGAAACAAGCCCTGCCCCATAAGCGTGTCTCCAGCACAGCAGTTCTTCCCTTATAGATGCAACGAGTCCTCAGAGCCAATTGGCCTGGAGGTCAATTCCTCACAGTGATACCAACAACAATCAGGACTAAACTACAACAAGGCTGTACATACAGTCCACAAAGGTGTGCACCAAGAGTGTCCACCTCAGGTAACTGGGAGGCTGACCCACTGGGCCATATAGGACACCTACCACACAAAGCCACTCTATCAACTCAAGGAAGCAGTGAAAATGTGGAGACAGAGAAACAGATCACAAACGAAAGAAATGGAGAAAAACAAAAGATTGAGTATAGAGTTCCAAACCAAGTTATAAGGTTTTTCAAGAATTTCCTAGAAAAGACCAATAAATTTAGTGAGACCCTCAAGGATATGAAAAAGGACCAACTAGAAATCAAACATACACTGACTGAAATAAAAATTATTATACAGAGACCCAATAGTAGACTAGAGGAACACAAGAATCAAGTCAAAGATTTGAAATACAAAGAAGCATAAAATGCTCAACCGGGAAAGCAAAAAAGGAAAAAAGAATCTAAAAATTTGAAGATAGTGTAAGAAGCCTATGGGACAACTTCAAACGTACCAACATCAGAATTATGGGAGAAGAGAGAGAGCAAGATACTGAAAACCTATTTGAAGAAATAATGACCGAAAACTTTCCTACCTGGTGAAAGAAATAGACTTACACTCCAGGAAGTGCACAGAGCCCCAAACAAGAAGAATCCAAAGAGGACCACACCAAGACACATAATTAAAATGCTAAGAGCGAAAGACAAAGAAAGAATATTAAAAGCAGCAAGAGAAAAGCAGTTAATTACCTACAAGGAAGCACCCATACGATTGTCAGCTGAGTTCTCAACAGAAACTATGCAGGCCAGAAGGGAGTGGCAAGGAATATTCAAAGTGATGAATAGCAAGAACCTACAACCAAGATTACTCAGCAAAGTTATCATTCAGAATTGAAGGTCAGATAAAGATCTTCACAGATAAGTAAAAGCTAAAGGAGTTCATCACCACCAAACCAGTATTATATGAAATGCTGAAAGGTATTCTTTAAAAAGAGGAAGAAGAAGAAGAAAAAAGTAAAGATAAAAATTATGAACAACAAATACATATCTATCAACCAGTGAATCTAAAAATCAAGTGAATTCAAAATCTGAGGAACAGAATAAACTGGTGAATATAATAGAAAGGGAGTGGACTGACGATTCTCAGGGGGAAAAGGGTGTGTGGGTTGCGGGAAGAGACTGGACAAGAATCATACACCTATGGATGAGGACAGTGGGGATAGATATGGGCAGAGGGTGGGGTGGGAACTGGGTGGAGGGAATCTATGGGGGGTAAAAGGAGAAACAATTGTAATAATATGAACAATAAAGATTTATTAAATTAAAAGAAAAAGAGTCTATTTCCCACCTCAGTTGGTTGAGCATTATACTATGAACCAGGAGGTTATGGTTCTATTCCAGGTCTTGGCACATGCCTGGATTTCAGGTTTGATCCCCAGTAGGGGGTATGCAGGATGCAGCTGATTGATATTTCTTTTTGTAAAAATACATTTTTGTTATTGATTTCAGAGAGGAAGGAAGAAGGGGTAGAGAGATATAGAAACATCGATGAGAGAGAATCATAGATTGGCTGCCTCTTGCATGCCCAGCAGTGGGGATCAAGCCCACAACCTGGACATATGCCCTGACCGGGAATCAAACTGTTACCTCCTGGTTCATAGGAGCTCAACTACTGAGCCATGCCAGGTGGACACTGATTAATGTTTCTATCTCTCCCTCTCCCTTTTGCTCTCTGAAATCAATAGATACATATATTTTAAAAAGAATCTATTTTCCAGTTCCTTCCTGGTAATACAATTCCCCTCACCCTGGAACTGGGCCAAGTCATGCATTTATCTTTCCTGGATCTCCCTCCACCACACTTTCCCCACCCCTCAAACACACATTAGCACACATGCACACTCATACAAGATAAACCAAGTTGTCACTTAAGACTTTAGATGGTGGTCAGTTGATAGAAATTCTCCTGGAGAATTTCTGAGCCCAGTAGTTTAATTACTACAATTTGTGCAATATCTTAACATGTAAGCAGCTTTGCACACTAGCAGTCAGAGACTGAGAGTCTCTCTGGGGTAAGGACAAAAGGACAACTTTAAGGGGGTGATGAGGAAGACAGTTGAATAGGTCAAAAGAGTTCCTAGTTTACTTTTGTACCTAGCCCCTTGGTGAGAAGCCAGTGGCCACCAAAAACCTGAAAGTCATCTTTTCCTTTGAATGGGCTGCCAGTACCTGGGTTAAAAGTACCAAAGACAATCTTCCAATTTAGTCCAGTCTTCCCATGCTAGGCAATCCCTGCTCAGCTTTAAGGTCAGTGTAGTTTGTCTCCATTCAGTGCCTTCTCCAACCTTAACAAGTAAAAATGAAACAAGATAAAGGAGAGACAAGTAGCTCATTTACTCCCTTTCCTAATTTAGTGATGGCACGGTATTTGGAAATGTTTCTTTGAAAGGGGGTGTCAGAAATGTAGGTCCCCCAAAGTACTAGTACTGAGTGCATTCAATGCCATAGGATTTACTTCCTCACATGTACAGTTACACTTGAGAATAAAATCACAAAACATTAGAAGCAAAAAAAATCTGGATGACAGTACTCATCCCTCATTTTAAAGATGAGGGCTTTTAGGACTTTAAAATCCCCAGTCTGGGGATTTCTCATATGGGAAGATACCTAAACCCTTAAAATTGTATTCCACTTTCATTATCTGTAATTACATTGGGTTCATCGGACTTAAAAATTGCATATAAATAGAGCTCCAATTAACAACAACAACAGAAAAATCTTGATGGTTGATACAAACAAATACCAAGAATCAACTGCCCATTGTTTTCACCAAAGGATTGAGGCAGTACATATTTATTCTCTAAAAGTGTAAAATAAATTGTCATTGCTCAGGCCCCTTAGAGGGCTGGATTCCTGTATAAATCAAACCAGCTCACTAGCAGCTTACATAGCTAACACTCAGCACCTTTCACCCCAGCTGGTGATGTAAGCTGGGCAGGGAGTTTATAAACCCCCATCCCAACCCGGGTAGAACTTTGGAACAACTGTGTAAACAGCGCCCCTTGGTGGTCAACATAAAAAAATGCAAAAACCAATGCTGACAAATCAGGGCTCTAGTAAAGGTCACAGCCCTGTCTCTAAGTTGTCTTCTAGTCTATGGGAACCTTTGCTGGGTCAAGGGAGAAAGCATGGGGAAAACAGCAGGGGAGAGAAAAAAGCTGCATTTTTTTTCTGGAGATGTTTATATGTGCCTTATTAAGGCTAGATCTCAAAGAAAGAAGATTCATTTTTGTATCCCATTGAGTCTGAACAGGCAGCTATAAGAGCCACAGATATATGTTATGCTTATATACATAAACATGATTTTATTGTTAACATCAATGAACACAGATTAAAAAATAGTCACATGCCAAGGACATAATGCTCACAAGATCACAAAAGAGCTACTGATTTGTGTTCATATATGCTCTGGTGGATCTTTACAGGTCTGAGTGAAATAATATTAAAAAGATTTTTGACGCTTCATTTCCATTTGGACATCTGCAATAACTTCATTAGAAAAAGAAAGCAGATGCTTTGAAGTTGATATATATATATATACTTTTTACAGATGTATGGATTCACCAAAAATGAAAATTACATCCCAGTAAATACATTTTAAGAAGTATACAAAGAAAGCACAAGAAACATGGATTTGGCTCAGTGGTTTGCCTAATTAAAGGGTTTTTAATTTTTTAATTTTTAAAAACAATCCCCTGTAAAGCTGTCAAGGGTACTTGATGTTACAGAAGAAAAGTGTTTTCTAAGCAACTCCAGGGCTCTGTTATTCCTCGCTTGCAGGTTCTTCTCAATTCTTAGTTCATTCTTGATGGCATCGAGCTCTCCATGGATCTTTTCCATTTCTAATTCATAATACAATTTTATTTCTTCTTTTAGAAGTTCATTTCCAACTTCAGTCTGATGTTTTAACTTCCTTACAGCTTCTTTTAAATCTCTATTCTCTAGGCTCAACTTGTGGATGACTTCTCTGGCTTGCTGGAGCTCTTCAGTTAAGTTTTTGACATTTGTTGCTTTTTCAGATAGGTCATTTCTTAAAGCTTGAAGTTCCCAGTCTTTCTTCAAAGTTTCTGCCGCTGTTTCTTGAAAATTTAAGGCTTTGGGGGAGACTTCCTTTTTGGCATTCAAAAGTTCTTTTTCAGCATTTTCAAATTCCTCTTCTATTTTTCTGCATTTCACATTGAGTTCTTCCAGTTCTTCATTCAAGATATTCAGGCTAAAATTTGGAGACTTTCCTTCAGTATATTTCTTCTTGTTGTCTTGTTGCCATAGACTTGGATGTTCCATTGTATTCTGGATGCAGTAGTCTTCTGTGCTATTAAAGCTTTCTTCAGTTGTAACATCCAAATTAGATGATTCACAGGACACAGAGTTTGTGTCTGCTTCATTCTTTGAAATGTTCATCTTTCTCTCTTTCAAGTTTGGTTCTTGTTTTTCTTCATTTGGTTGGGAAATAAATTCTTTCCTCTGAAATTTATTCTCTTCTTGAAACTTTCTACTAGACATGTTGTAAATTCCTTCCATTCTCTTGGCCTTATCTGAAGTCATTTGTTCAGGAAGAGATTCAGGCTGTAAAACCTCATTTAGAACATCATGAGCACTAAAAGAAGGAGCAAACATATTCTCTTTCCAGTGTTTTCTCCTATCATCCATTTCTTCAAGCACCTCTTCCATTTCCTGGAAAATAATTTTAATCAAAGCACATTATTTACACTGGCAGCTAGTGTAGTGGAAAGAACTAAGCTCATGGTTGAAGGAACCTAAATATTGGAAGACTGGTTCTCCTTATAGCTCACGAAGTGGCCTGGGCCTCAGTTCCCTCATTTGTAAACTGAAAGGGCTATATTAGCTAAGTTGTATAGATCCTCCCAGCTTTAAAATTCTCTGATACTATAAAATATAACCAATAAATCGACACATTTGGCCATTAATTATAGGTAGAGAAAATAATTCTATAAAAGACAACCGTACACATGAAAACAAATTGCTTCAAAAGGAGTAAAAGTGATTAAAAGTTAATAGGCTTAATTTTAAAGTAGGCTAATACCTGTGCTTCCAATTTCCCTGATTTTTCTCCAGTTCTTTTGGGTTGGACTACTGTTTATTCATTCTTTAAAGTGACTAAAACATCAGGGCTTACTGCAATGTGAGCTGCTTTTGGTAAAGTATATCATTCAGACTTCCTCATGCGTAACTCTGCCAAATGCCCTTCTGCCTTGACCTGTAAATTCCTGCTATTCCAGTCTTGGGCTTTGCTTTTAAGCATGATTGCAAAGTGTACAGAATTCTATCCATTTTGACAGCAATTTCATGATGAGAATCAAATGTCAACAACTGAAAATCTTAATGCCACAAAATGTGTTTTTCTCAAGATATTGACTCCAAGTATAGTTTTTCGGTGAAACCTTAGCATGCTAAATCATAATAAACTTTCTAAATGCATCAAAATTAGAGGATATTTATTTTGTTTCTTTAGTATTCAAAGGGAATCCTTAACATACAACTCTCCTAAAACATGGAAGTATTTAATTGGTTACTACTTCTGAAAGGAGAAAGAAGGAACCAGGCAACACACTGATGGGCCACTGGCATCTGAAGCCAACAAACTAATAACTTAGTTACTCCTAAGAGTCAAAAGGAGGAGGAAGAGGTCAATTCATTCATTTTATACATTAATCTTCTGTAATATATTTGTGGTAACACCAATGAGAAAGACCAAATTATGCCTGCATCTATTTTTCCCATGCACACAAATGTAATTTTATCTTGGTAACAAAAAAATGGCAACTGTTGTATTTATTTTTAAATGAATATTCTCTTTAATATTATTAAAAAGTCTAAATGTTGTAGTAAATTATTTAACACATAATTTATAGTTATATAATATTTCATATTATTTAAAGATTATAATAGTAGCATTTGTTATTTGTAGAATTTTGGAAAATATAGAAAAGGAATTCCCTCATAATCCCATGGCCTGGAGATAACCACTATTTGATATATTATCTCTAATATTTTTTTTCTGGCAAGAATAGTTTAAATTTTAATAGATGTCCTTGCTACCGACAATGATACTTCATATCTACATGTACTGAACATGCCTGACCCTCAAGCGTACATCTCCACTGTCAACTCACATGGCTTTGAGGAAAGGGAAAGATGCAAATATTCAGTAAAGGTGTTAAAATGATGAGTTCAAAAGCTGTAAGTCAAGCTATATTAAAGTTTAGTCAATCAGACTAGAATAATAAGCTGTGACTTCAAATTTATGGTATAGATTTGCCATTGGAAGCATCACCTCCTTTCTCTTGAAATAGTTCTGATTTTAATTATTCTACTAGTCACCACCCAGAAGTACCTATGACCTATCTGTTCTTTTAAAAAATATATATTTTATTGATTTTTTACAGAGAGGAAGGAAGAGGGATAGAGAGCTAGAAACATTGATGAGAGAATCATCGATCAGCTGCCTCCTGCACACCCCCCACTGGTTCTAGTTAGTATCTACATGCCCTTGACCAGAATCAAACCCGAGACCTTTCAGTCCGCAGGCCGACGCTCTATCCACTGAGCCAAACCGGTTTCAGCGACCTATCTGTTCTTAAAAAGGAAAAATAATCATATAATGCTGGTTTCTCTCCTCTCTAGTTTTATGAATGCAAATGAGTAGATTATTTCAACAATCATAAAGAAACAGAAGAAAAAGATAAGATGGTGATGCTAATTGCCAGCCACATGTTATATTTTTTATGTTTCATTTATAATTTATTTTTAAAATATTTTTATTGAGCCCTAACTAGTTTGGCTTATTGGATAGAGGGTCCCAGGTTCAATTCCGGTCAAAGGCATGTTGTACCTTGGTGCAGGAGGCAGCTGATCAATGCTTCTCTCTCACTATTGTTTCTAAATTCTCTATCCCTCTCCCTTCCTCTCTGTAAAAAATCAATAAAATACACTTAAAAATACTTTTATTGATTTCAGAGAGGAAGGGAGAGAAAAATAGAAACATCAATGATGAGGGAGAATCACTGATTAGCTACCTTCTGCATGTCCCCCACTGGGGATCAAGCCTGCAACCCAGACATGTGTTCTGATCAGAACTGAACCCCTGACCTCCTGGTTCACAGGTTGATGCTCAATCACTGAGCCATGCCAGCTATACTATTTTTAATTGAATTTATTGAGGTGACATTTTAATGAAATTATACAGATTTCAGGTATACAATTTTACAATACATCATCTGTAGCCAGTCACATTTTTTTAGCAGTCAAATTTTCACTAGACAATCCTATAAAAGATAAAAATGCTTCCAATCATGTAGCAATGGGAGAGAGAATACTATTCCTCTTATTGAATTCTGGATGAAAGGAATTGATGAGATTAATTTGGAAGGAGATGTGCAGAGGGCCAAGTAAACCGAGACCACTTTATAACTGCAGATAGCAATAATGACAAAACTGATATAGATATTTAGGTAGAGATAAAAGTTAAAATAGAAAACTCCTTTTATTCATTTGTACTTGAAAAGGTGACTTCTATCTCCAACCCTCTCATAAATATGTAAATTTCACTACCTTTCTTTCTGAACTTCTGTACAATTTCCTGATATAGACAATGCTTTTCACAAAACTGGGGAGAATAGACTTATTTTATAACTAAGGCTCAGAGAAGTTAAGTGACTTGACCAAGGCTAACCAGCCTGTAATGATAAAACTGAAACCCTGTCTCCCAGTCTGTACTTGTTTTAAAAGTCCCCTTTATTATTCTGCTAGGTTTCATTCCACAAATTGAAAGAAAACAACCCAGTATTTTCAGAGCTTAGGTATTTTTTAAAGGGCCACAAAAAGACAGAGGAAAAACAAAGGGGTGGTGGTGGTGGTATGGAGAATGGCATGTCACATATCAAAGGGCAGAAAGAGAAAGGTTTGAAACTCCTTTGGAATTTCCCTCACATGGCTTATACAGGGCAGGGTCAGGGGTCCTGAGCTTCTCTCTTTTCTTTCCTTTTTTCTTTTTTCCCTCCCTCCCTCCCTCCTTTTCTCCCTCCATCCTTCCCCCACTTTCTTATTTCCTTCCTTCCTTCCTTCCTTCCTTCCTTCCTTCCTTCCTTCCTTCCTTCCTTCCTTCCTTCCTTCCTTCCTTCCTTCCTTCCTTCCTTTTTCTATTTTCTTGGCCAGATATCCTTTAATGGCTTGTTCCTCAATCTACTACTCAGAATATGGCAAAGACCACACTGGGGGTAAAAGCTGCCAGTCTCATTTTCTCTTTGCAAATTGCACTATTTATTTTATTTTATTTTTTGTGTAGAATAAGCATCACATTAGTATTCTCTGGCAAGGAAAAGGAATAAGCATTGAAGCAATGACACTCCTCTACCATTGAGTGATAGTCATTTTGCTCAAAATAAACTTGATTAGGTAATTTTTGCAGCATAAGGCAAATCAAACCAGATGTTTTATTGAAAGTACAAGCATGCCTTTTTACTGTGTCAATTATGAACATTTACTATTATATTTATTATTACTCAACACTATGTTGGATTCTGAAAAGTAGGGGAAGGAGGTCCAAGAGAAATAAGAGATGTAAAGAAATAAGCCAGAACAAGGAAAATGATATAGTCACATGACAAAAATAACATTAGTGGTCCCCTAAGACAGTGATCCCCCAGAAGTCTTTGGGCTTAAACTGTCAATGCCTGGGTTTCCATAATATAGCTATATCTATTCATTTGTGTCTGGCATACATTAATAATGAACTCTTGATGGTTCTAGTTAGTATCTACCTGAAAACATAACCAGTCATCCTCTGGTGACTTTTATCCTCTGGCAAGATAGCAGGTCATTTTGGTGGAGTAAGGGATCTATTAATTCATAAAAGTAGTTTATATTTACCTAAAATTTTGGAGAAACACTGATAATATAAATTGAAAATAATGTAATGTAATATAATATAATAATTGTGAAGAGCTAAGCAAAGAGTGATTATTTATTATGGATCTTTGGGCAAATCATTCCATAAAAATCTTAGGCCAATGCATATATATCCTTAAATAGTTCCAGAAAATAATATGCTGCTGTTTATTGTGAAAGGGAAACACAAACAACAAACTGTTTCATTTTCAATGTATGGGTCCCTGAGGAATATACTCATATTAAGGTGGATAAGTGATCAAATATGTGAAATCTATTTGTTTTATAAAATATTCATATTTTAAATCACATGCTTTAGAAAAATTTGATGACATAAGAAATCAAATATCATTTTTTTTCTGTTGTCTTATCTCATTTATATTAGAATTTGATTTCAAAATTTCAGAACCGCCTCTTTTGCATAAATCTAGATGTGTCTGCAAAGAGATTATTCTTCTAGGCAGGGACATGCAGGGACTGGGAAATATTTCTGGAAAACCTCCAGAAGCTTTCCCCCACATCACAAGAGTACTTCATTACAAACTTTGTAAATTGGGAATGCTGGTTGGAAAAGGTCATCTTCAACTTGTGATGGGCACTTCTGTAACTGCCCTCAGTTCGTCAGCCCAAATCAACCAGATTAAAAGCCACTGGGCTTTTAATCACAGCCCAGTGGCAGTAACAGGAAGACAAAGGGCCCTTCTTAGCTCAAGGAACTTTCCCCCATTATTCTTGGAGGTTTT